TTTGTTGTACTGTGATGGCTTGTGTATTGCTGTGATACTAGAAGCTATGTCACCAGTATTTTAAATAACAGCTGGGTCACCCAAGATGGACAAGTTTCAGCTGAGCTTCCAGACTAAGACAGATTAGGAGGAAGGAAAGGATGGACGAATTCTGAATGATTACCCACTGAAAAACCTCATGAATACCAGTGAAACAATGTCACACACAGTGCAAGATGAGCTGTTCAGGTTGGAAGGCACTCAAAATATGTCTAGGGAAGAGCTATCTCTTCAAAGTAAAGTTGAGCATGATAATGCTAATGGAGTAAAGCTTTCAGGACCTTAATTTGCTGTTGGGGCACAATTCTAAATGAGGAGAAACAGCTGTAAACATTCATTAATAGAACATGGAATGTGTTAAGAATGGATCTAGGAAGATTAATAACTGTCAAAAATGAAATGGAAAGCCAAAAGATTTACATCATAGGTATTGTTGTTGTTAGGTACCATTGAGTTGGCACCCACTCATAGTGACCCTGTGCACAACAGAATGAAACACTGCCCGATCCTGGGCCAATGTCACAATTGTTGCCACGCTTGAGCCCATTGATGCTGCCACTTGGCCAATCCATCTTTCTGGGAGTCTTCCTCTTTTCCTCTAACCCTCCACATTACCAAACATGGTATCCTTCTCCAGTGACTGGTCCCTCCAGTATGTCTGAAATATGAGAGACAAAGTTTGGCCATCCTGGCCTCCAGGGAGCATTCAGGCTGCACTTCTTCTAACACAGATCTGTTGGCTCTTTTGGCAGCCCATGGCACTTTCAATATTCTCCTCCAACACCATAACTTAAAAGCATCAATTCTTTGATGGTCTTCCTTATTCACTGCCCAGATTTTGCATGCATATGAGGTTATTGAAAATATCATGGCTTGGGTATTATTGAGTTGAAATGGACTGGTATTGGCAATTTTGAATCTGACATAGTAAATGATTTACTATGCTGGGAATGAAAATTTAAGAGGAATGATGTAGCATTGATCATCAAAAACAACATTTCAAAATGTAGCTTTGAGTGGAGTGCTGTTTGTTATAGGATAATATCCATACACCTACAAGGAATACCGGAGTCCTGGTGTGGCTCTGTGGGTTAATGTGCTGGACTTCAAGGTTGGTTTGAACTGCTAGTTTGATGGTTCGGGTTCACCAGCCACTCCTCGGACACCCTGTATATGGTCACTATGGGTCGGAACCAACTCGATGGCACTTAACAACAACAACAACAACAACAACATAAAGAATACTAGTTAATACCAGAAATATTCAAATTTACGCACCAATCTCTGAACCCAGTAATGGTGAAATTGAAGAATTCTACCAATTTATTCAATCTGAAATTGATCAAACTTGCAATCAAAATATATTGATAGCTACTGGTGACTGTAATGTGTGTGAAGGTTGGATATAAAGAGGAAGCATCCATGGTTGGAAAATGTGGCCTTGTTGATAGAAACAATGCTGAATGAAGATCGCATGATAAAGTTTTGTAAGACCAATGACTTATTCATGGCAAATATCTTTATTGAACAACATAAAAGACGATTATACACACGAACCTCACCAGATGGAATACACAGAAATCAAATTGACCACATCTGTGTGAAGAAATGGTGGAACAGCTCAATATCATCAACGAAAACAACACCAGGACAGACTGTGAAACAGATCATTCATTGCTCATATGCAAGTTCAGGCTGAAGTTGAAGAAAATGAAAACAAGTCCACAACAGTTAAAATATGATTATGAACATAACCCACCTGAATTTAGAGATTGTTTCAAAAATAGGTTTGATGAATGAGACACTAGTAACCGAAGACCAGAAGAGTTGTGGGATGACACCAAGAATATCATATAGGAAGAAAACAAAAGGTCTTTATAAAAACATGAAAGAAAGAAAGAACCAAAATGGATGTCACAGGAGACTCTGAGACTTGCTCTTGAGAGTAAAGTAGCTAAAGGAAATGGAAGAAATGGTAAAATCAAAGAACAGAAAATTTCAAAGAACCCCTCAGAAGACAAAGTCAACTATTATAATGAAATATATAAAGACCTGAAGTTAGAAAACCAAAAGGGAAGAATACGTTCAGCTTTTCTCAAGCTGAAAGAACTGAAGAAAAAATTCAAGCCTTAAGTTGTAATGTTGAAGGATAATATCGGCAAAATGTTGAATGGTGCAAAAAGCATCAAAAGAAGATGGAACCACCAAGCAGTCTTTGTACCAAAATGAAATGATTGATGTTTAACTATTTCAAAAGGTAGCACATGATCAAGAGCCAATGATCTGGAAGGAAGAAGTCTAAGGTACTTTGAAGGCATTGACAAAGAATAAGTCACTGGAAGCTGATGGAATACAAATTGAAATCTTTCAACAAACTGATAACAGCACTGCAGGCATTCACTCATCTATGCCAAGAAATTTGAAAGATAACTATTAGGCAAACTGCTTGGAAGAGATCCATATGTCTGCCCATTCCAAAGGGAGGTGATGCAGTGGAATGTGGAAATCATCCAATAATATCGTTAATATAACATGCAAGTGAAATTTTGGTTTGTTGTTGTTAGGTGCCATCGAAACGGTACCGACTCACAGTGACCTTATGCACAACAGAACAAAACACTGCCCGATCCTGGGCCAACCTTACTACTGTTGCCAAAGATAGTATAAAAACTGTTAAGAGAACTGCTAAAGCTTCAAACCAGATTAAAAACAGAACGTAGAATGAGGGATATTATTACAGACATCAGATAGAACTTGGCTGAAATCAGAGAATATCAGGTGTTTACCTGTAATTTATTGACTGTGCAAAGACTCTCAGCTGTGCATATCATGACAAGCTATGGGTAACACTGTGAAGAATGAATATTCTGGAACAATTAATTGTGCTTATGAGGAACCCGTACATAGACCATGAGGCAGTTTTATGAACAGAACAAGGGGATGCTGAATTGTTTAAAATCAGGTGTATTCTTTCACCATACTGAACAAATAATCTGAGAAGTTGAATTATCTGTGGGACATGGCATCAGGATTGGAGGAAGACTCACTAATAACCTGTGATATACAGATGATAGAACCTTGCTTGCTGAAAGTGGAGATTACTTGAAATACTTACTGATGAAGATCAAAGACTGATATACAGATGATAGAACCTTGCTTGCTGAAAGTGGAGATTACTTGAAATACTTACTGATGAAGATCAAAGACTACAGCTTTTAGAATGAGTTGTACCCCAATGTAAAGAAAACAAAAATTCTCAAAACTGGACCAGTAAATAATACTAAGATAAATGCAAAGATATTTGTTGTCAAAGACTTCATTTTACTGAGTCCACAATCAACAATACTCATGGAAGCAACATTCAAGAAACCAAACAGCATGTAAGGCAAATCTTTGAAGTATTCATGAGGAAAGATATCAGTTTATGGACTAAGATGTGTGTGACCCAAGACATGGTATTTTCAGTAGCCTTATATGCATGTGGAACTTGGATAATGAATAAGAAAGACCGTGAAAGAGTTGATACATTTGAGTTAAGGTGCTATAGAAGAATATTAAAAGTACCATGGACTTCCAGAAGAACAAACAAATCTATGTTTGAAGAAGTAAGGCCAGAATGGTCCCTAGAAGCCAGAATGGTGAGATTTCGTCTCTCATACTTCAGATTTGTTATCAGGAATGACCAGTCTCTGAAGAAGTACTTCATAATTGGTAAAGTGGAGGGTCTGCAAAAAAAAGAGGAAGACACCTTACAAGATGGATTGCCATAGTGGCAACAACAACTGGCCCAAGCTTAACAACAATTGTGAGGATGGCGCAGGATGGGGCGATATTTCCTTCTGTTGTGCCTAGGGTCACTGTTCATTAGAACTGACTCTGTGGCTCCTGACAACCACAACATTGTCTGTTTGTGTGTGTATATTTATATATGTGTGTATAAAAAAATGCCAGTCAGAACTGACTCGATTGCACTTAACAACAACAACAAAATATATAAAAATACTTTTCAATGAAACAGTTTACTCTTTTCTCACTAATTGGTTTATTACCTGAAATTTGGATAAGGAAAGGGAAATCATGAGGTAATTTGAAAAGGGAAAGTGTGATATGAAGAGTTACCAACTGTAACAGTTGATTGGCTTAAAAATAAGGGCTTGGAAAGCATCTTAGGGCTGAGTAGATCTGGGTGGCACAAACAGTCACAATGGCAAAATCAGATGAGTGGAGTGGTTAAGTTGGAAAATAACTGAGCAGTTAGTACCTAACCATCAGCAGACATTACTATGGAAGGTCACAGAATGGGTACCTCAGCCCTGAAAAGAGAGGTCGCATGCATGTGACAGTATTCAGTACAGGCACATAAGAAGATGTGTTCTATAGAGTGATGAAGATCCAAAGGATACTATAGTACTAGAGAAATGAAGTGGGAGTTGAGTGTTAAAACATGTTCTGACAGCTTAGCTACTATGAAAAGGGAGAGAATCAGCATCATTGCCAGAATGTCCCAAGGAGGCGAGAAGGTATGGGATCCCAAATGTAGATCATTAAGATTTGCTGTAGGTAGGAAGAAGTAGACTTACAACATTGTAATAGAAGAGGAGGAATATAGGAGTCAGATATAGCTAAGTTTATAGCAGTAATGGGAAGAAGTAGTATTGTGAGTTTCTTCTGAGAAAGTATAGAGGGACTCAACAGCTGAAAGAGGGGGAATTTGGTTGGGCTGAAGATTAAAGGCAAAAAAGAGAAGATTCCAGGAGATTACACTGAAGAGTGGGAGAAAAGAGCTAACAGCATAACCAGTGGATGTTGATGAAATCATTTGACGTTGGTGTTCTTTATTTTGTGTAATTATCAGTTTGTGCAATTGTATGACTTTTTCTGACAATGTTTAATGTAGTCAAAGTATAAAAGTTAATGCTTAGTGTTTCATCAGATTATCTTTTTTTTTTTTCTTCTTCCAGTCATCAGATCAAATCGCTACAGTACAGTAACACAGGAGACATGATTCTTGTTGTATCTGGAAGTTCACAGGCTAAGGTGATTGACAGAGATGGTTTTGAAGTAATG